CAAGCGATTAACGAAAAAGAGCAACACTGACAATGATGTTAAAAGGAAAGAGAATACAATGACGATTTTTTCAGCCAACTTTTCAGTTAGCTTCAACTACACGCAAACAGCGGGAGAAGTGATGATAATGGAGCTGGTGCTAGTGCTGGTGCAATGCTGATGCTGATGCTGGCAATGGTGATGGTGGCGAAGGAGGCAATAAGAAATAACATTGCCATGTCTTGCTGATGGCAGTGCATAAAACATAAAATACAAACAACAACAAGGACAAGAAGAAGCATGCAGACATGCACGCACACATGTCTGAGTAAATAATACAGCGAAGTAAAGAAATACAGAAAACAAGAATTACAAAATAAAATGGAATATACAAAATAAAAGAGCAACTCTATGCCTCGATGTTGAGAAACTGACAACCGATGCGATGAGAAGTGGAAAATGTAGCGAGTTGAATTGGAAATATATAGAAGATTGAGATGAAGAAACTCAAAAAGGTGCAGACTTATAGCTATGATAGAGCAATAAGACGGTAATAAACAAAAACGAATGTGAGAGCAACACAAAAGAGATGAAGGCGAAGTCACAGATCAAGGGAAAACGGCCAAAGACAGTAAAAAACATCGATACAATAACAATTATTGGGCATAAACAAGCGATTCGAATAACAATAACGAACTGAAGTGAACAAGCAAAAGCAAAAATCTCAACGAACAAACAAACGAAAGACTTAAGTCACAAACGCTGATCCAAATTACAACTAACGAGCGCAGCGCCTACAGGTACAGCGAACAAACAACAAACGCAACTAGTGGACGTAGATAGGGAAGAGAGATCGTGCTGTGCTCAAGCATTTGTACCGGAGAGTTGGCGAGAGGTTTCCCAACACAGCTTACAGGTACACACAACATAGCATCCACAAGCGACAAAGCGGCCGACTGTGTATCAGCAAGCAAGCAAAGTAGCGAGTAAACACGTCGAAAGCCAACCAGCTGAGCTCGGCTGCCATAAATACATATTTGTCGCTTTACGGCCAAAACAACGCTTCAGCTCGAATCCAAGAGAAAGGAGAAGGCGAGAGAGCGCGCACACACACATATTTTACTAAAGCGAGTAGAGAGAGCTACAGCGCATGCAATGACGTAGCACAAATATAACACGCAAACGCCTGCTAATGTAGTATGCAGCCAGCCAAAGTAACTAAGTCGCTGCGGTAACACCGACTGGCACGCAATGCTGCCACAAATACAAAGATTGCCACACCGCTGCCACCAAATCAGTCTATAGACTGACTCAAGGCAATTTTTGCGCAGCATAAATACTAACCACTAACCACCTAGCTACCACGATCATAGTACTGCCACAACGACCTCGCCAGCAGTGGCTGCCAGCATAGCTGTGCAAACTTTGACTTGGCATGCGGACGTCGTGCGCTCCACGCGAATGCAGTGAGTGCGCATTGCCACTTACACACAACACCACACACTAAAGGGGTCGACACAGGTAACGATCGCGCGGCGCGGAGACAACCAGCCATGCAACCAATCTGCGCTTGGCCTTTTGCAGTATGACAGAGAGTGTGCCTTCGGCTTTCTTCGCATGGAGTTAGAGGAAAAGTGCTTTGGCTAAGTGGCATGGCAGCTAAGAGCAGCTTTGGTACTTGATGTAATGGTTGAAATTGAAGCTGCAGCCAGTCGGTTACATGCAAATGCTATTTGCGGGCGCGTGGGCATCATGCATAAATAGCAATTGTTGGCTGACACAAATTTTTTGAGAGAAACTTGTAGCTTTAACATAGGATGTACATATGTAAGATTTTATTTTATTGATAGTCGAAAAAGTCTTTTCGTATTTCTAATCACATTTCAACTCATTTTTTTATTTTATAATGAGCTTTTATGAACCACATTTTGCCAGACCATTTTGGTCGACCACTTTTTGTCATTTTTCTACAAGAGACCTTATTCCATTAGCGTGAAACCATTCTGGTTTCTCGGCGATAAACTGCGACAAGCGATTTTCACATGCTTCTCTTGAAATCAACTTTACTCCATTAAGGGAGTTCTGCATTGACCGAAACAAATGGTAGCCCTTTCCGTTGACCAGTTCTGGCCGTTTTCTGATTGCTTGCTTCAATCTTATCACTTGTTGACAGTAAAATATAGAAGCAATTGTTCATAGCTCATAGTGGATGATTCCTTTCCAATCCCACCAAACACTTAGCATAACCTTTCGCGCCGTCAAGCTTGGCTTTGCGACCATTTGCTGAGCTCCACCACGCTTGAACAATGATCTTTTTCGCACATTATTGTCGTATTTGATCCACTTTTCGTCTCCTGTTACCATACGCTTCCGAATGGAAATCGATTTCATTTCGTTTCAGCAAAGAATCGCAGATGTGAATTTGTTCCATTATATTTTTCACAGAAAATTCATGTTTTTAAATGATTCAAACCCGTTTGATGATGAATGTTAAGTTCCTTAGCGATGTCATTGCTGCTTAAGGGATAATCTTTTCTATAATTTCATCGACTTTTTCAAAGATAGGTTGACCACAGCGAGGTGCATTTTTCACAATAGAATTTCCAGAACAGAAGCGAGCGAACCACTGTTTACTACATGAACTGATACAACATCGTCTCCGTAAACTTCACAAATTTCTCTGATCGCTTGCGTGGTATTCTTCCCTTTTTATACAAAAATTTCAAAACATAGCGAATTTCTTCATTATTTTCACTCATGAATATCTGTAACTTTTTTTCAACTCCCCGAATTTAATTTGTCTGCTAAATGAGAAGATTAAAATCTCACCTTTCCAACGCCATATGGGATGACACAATGTGATTGCTAGCACTAGAGATATGCGACTGCAACGACATCTATTGACAAAATACAAAAAGACTTTTTCGAGTACCCAATATTTAAGAACACTATTATCATTTCAGGTCTCGAAAAGTAACGGATGTTTGCCAGTGACGACGCTAAAGAAAAGTCTATGAGTTGTTAACATCGGGGAAGGTTTTGAAAAATTTCAGAATAAGTTAAGCATTCTGCCTACCGAAACGCATTGATCATTTTGGTAAACTGAACTGAGATTTATAAAATTTCGATTGCATAAAAATCGCCACACCGAACCAGTTAGTTGGGTATTCAAATTAGCCGACGAAAATGAGTAAACAATTTTTGATTTCAATTTCGAAAATTGTACCGCTGATTATGACACAAATTAAAATAAGTAAAGACAAACGAAGCGAAAAGCGATAAAAACACGAAAAACAAGTGAACAGTAAACCAAAAAAAGGAAAAAAGATACAAAACAAAGACAGCGCACAGAGCACATGATAAACTGGCTCAGAGCAGACTGAAATGTTTGGATTACCACGTTTGCTACTTACTTAGTAGATGGTTGAAATGCGGCCTGGGTTTGGCACAAGAGGGGCGCGCCGAAGGAAATGTACCAATCAAGAAACAAGTGGACCCGGTTCAAACTGCCAGAGAATGTTTATCACAGCGACCGGCTTAAGCTGCCGGGCCATCGTGGTCCACAGCGCGGGGATCAGGGTAGTCGCAGCTAATAACGAAACTGGTCACCAATGCAGCGACAGCAAGGCGTACAGGTAAAAGGCACCAGGCGGTGGGTTGATAAGAAACCAGTAATATCGTTGGCGAGGCACTTACCGAGTTCATAAGGCGCAAGTGTTTTGTAGTGGTGGAGCGGGGAGTGGGGATCGTGGTACGTCAGTTGGTAAACAAGCATGTAGCGTGCGCGGAACACGCATGCAAAAGTTATTGCCGCTGATTACCGCGCACTATTGTGGTTGGCTTTGTTGTCGCTGGCTGGTGAAGATGTTTGTTATTATTTCTTGACGTTGTTGGATTGTCGCGTCTGCGTTTGTTTTGTTTTGATTTGCTTTGCATCGCTTGCGGATTTGTTATGTGAATGACAGTTTTCGCGATTAAGCGGTGGCACTGACTTGAGCCATGCCATTTCAATGGTGCAATGATGGTGTTGCATGTGTAGTATGTTGCCAGGACAACAATTGGCGCTGCGCATTGAAGTGTAATGTTGAGCGATGGAATTGTTGTGCAGTAATGGCGCCTAAAGGATTAAGTGAAGCAGCAACGTATGCGCGAATGAACTGTACGAACGTAGCTTTGGTCACTGGATTGCATCTAAATGTGTGAACGGTTGAAATATTTTATTGTAATGTTCGCGCTTTGCAGTAAAGGCTAAACTGATTTTTTTTTAAATTGCTGGCGTAATGCTGGTTATTACAATACTACTAATAAACTGAAGAGGTTTGAAAAGCTTATAGCTGTAACAAAACTGTTTAAGAGTTGCAGTATAGTTCAAAATATTTTCGAAAAGTGTTGCCACCCTAAAATTTGTTAAAAATATTATTTTTAGAGTTGCCATGTGGTTCAAAATATTTTGGAAAAGTGTTTTAATAGTTTTTTAAGAGTTGACATATGATTCAAAATGTTTTCGAAAAGTGTTGCAACAACAAAATTTATTAAAAATAATTTTTTAAGAGTTTACATATGGTTCTAAATATTTTGGAAAAGTGTTGCAACCCTAAAAATTGTTAAAAATAATTTTTTAAGAATTGCGATATGGTTCAAAATATTTTCGAAAAGTGTTGCCACTTAAAAATTACAAATATAACATATACAAACTGACCCTTCAAAATCAAGTCCTTACTTCGAAATTTTTTCTAGTTATTAAGATATCTTCACAAAATTCGGCATAGATTATTAGCCACGCACCTATGAGCGCTGTTATAGCTTCGGTGCAATCAAAATTTACTTCTTTTTCTTATCTATGAACTTTGTTAAACTTTTGAAAACGACGACACCAGCTCTCATTAATATCGTTATAAATTTATATTTTTCACAGAGCTTTTAACTGTTAATTTTAATAATTTTATTATTTCATGATTTTTCTCCTAATCAATATCGATAGACTCTTACAGGCTAAATATCTCTTTCTTCGCTTTACTTACATAATACGCATTTGATTGTAGTTAGGTTGTGAATGTTGTTGTTGTAGCCATTAATATGGTTGACATCGATTTTCTTGCTAGTTGTAGTTGTGGCTACAATTTCTGTATGGTGTTGTTATTGTTGCTTTGTGTCAGCAGCTGGCCGTACAGCCACCAATAATTACATTTCTTCGCGTCTATTTGGCACTCAGGTGGCTGGCTATTTCAGCATTTCTGTTCACTAATAGTCGTCAGTGGTAACTGCTGTTGCTGTGTTGTTGTTCGACTGATTGCCTGGTTGTCTAGTTGTCTGGTTGCTTGCCTGTTTAGGTGACAGTTTCTGGATTATATTGACTCATAACAAAAACATAAGGAAATCATAACTTTTTCAAAGCACTACCACTTCATTTCACTTCAATACTGGCTATGCTTGCATATGAGTTTGTATGTATGTGTTTGGAATTTTGTTTTATTTTTTATTATATACTAAATAAATAGCTTTCTTTGTGTATGTATTGGTGTGAGTATTGGCACATAAATTCACTGATTTAATTTCTATTCGTTTCCGGTTAAATTAATAATTTCATTTTTTTCGCTGTGACTGTAACAAAACGTTGTTGTTATTGTATATGTTTATTTTTTACTGTTTTTGGTCACTTTCCGCACACTTGTGTAACACTTTCCATATATTTTTTCAATATTTGCAATTGTTTGCTTTGCCTGCACTTTGTTATTGTAGAAATTTTATGAATTTTTTAAATTTGTTTTTATTGTTGTTATGCGCGCTGCTGCATTGCAATTGCACTGTAATAAATATAAAACAATTTTTTATTTCAATTTTATTGCTTTATAGCGCTAATGCCTGTGTATGTGTGCTTAAGTGTGTGTATGTGTATTTGTTTCTTTCGGCTGACAGGAGCGCTGCGACTTTAAGGCCACATTTATTGCAACGAGATTGAAGTAATTTAGTCGTTAAAAATTAATAACATGTTTATATTAAGCTGCGAAATTTATTTCGCTTATAATTCTTCAAAGACGCGGCAAACTCCTGCCTGCAAATAGTTAAGTGCGCTTACCCACAACCAGCGCCATGCATAGCTAAGCCACCCCTCAACGTCACAGCCTTGGGTCTGCGCGCTCAGCTTGCTGCAGACATAAACGCGCAGGCGCATGCGCACTAGCAATCAACAATCGGCTATGGTCGCGCGACGCGCACAGGCGGAAGGGTCTGAAACCAATTGCTTTGGCTTGATGGTGTGTTGCACAACACTGCAACAACTACAGACAAGTAAAAGTCAGTAAAAACAACAACAACAACCAACACTTCAATCGACGTTAAATCTTTTGACTCTTTTATTTCTGATTTTATTGTTATCACAATTTTATATGCGTGTTGTTGGCGTTGTTGTAGCGATGTGGTAAGTGTTTGTTATTATGCCTTTTCCTTCACTTCGTTTTTATATTATTACAATTAATTTTATTATATTTCTCATTTGATTACATTCCGTGTGTTTTTCCATTTAATGATTATTTATTTCGCTTTGCCTTTTTTACCTCTTACCATATTTCTGTGAGCCATTTGCATTGCTTTTTACTACAAGTTTTAGTAAAGGTGAAGGTACTCATACCGATATGGGGGGATATTTGAAGAGTTCACCGGTGACTTGAACTTTTTCCAACCCTCAAAATATGTAAACAACAAATCAAACACGAAATCAAATAAGAAAATATAAACGCTTGGCTAAAATCACCTGAACAATGACTGGTTTGGTGGCAATGACGCTGTGACGCTGACAATGAAGGGCAAAATGATGATGAGAAAAAGTACTGTTGCATTACGAAAGAAATGTGGTAGATGAGGTTGATAAGTAGGAGCAAAGAAATGAAATGCTAAAGAAGTACTTATATGATAACATACAAGGCAACATATATCTACATATATTTATTTATGTACTTAAAAACACCACAGAGGTCAAAGTCGCTGAGGTAGAATATTTAGGAAGAAGTTTACAAGTTGTGAGAAGAAATAATTCTCGATGTAGTCTAAGCTAATGTATTCAGTTATTTCTAATGCAACTTATTTGAAAATGTACTTCAGCTCATAAAATAATGTAATTCAAAGATCTGAATCAATCAAGAAAAATGAAAATTCATTTTGGTAATCAAAAAGAAATGTAGTGTAATCAAAGCATTTTAAAAATTTTTGAACCAACTTCGATCCAAATATGAAAGATTTATACAAAACTACTTAAATACTTGAAGTAATGCAAGAGTAATACAATGTTTTTCATTTTAACTGTTTATATAAAATACACACACATATATTATTCAACTTCAAAAGTATAAAAAAGTACGCGGTTTTTATATAACTCATTAATAGGGTATTTTTAATTTCCTCTTTTTAAATACTCTAATTCGAAATAACCACTTTTTTTGTGCAGACTATTTCCGTTTTAATTTCATGAAAATCCAAGTAATTTAAACGCATTTCGCATGACGCTGTCCCACATACTATCTACCTCATATATTCTTCTTTGGTCTACAATCATTACAATCTAAATACTAAATACAAATTTATGTATTACTTGTATTCCCAGCATTGTTTATTTGATTTTTTTTTTTTTGCTTGGTTTCTTGTGCGCCTTATTTTTGCTGTTTCTTCATTCTCTTGTAGTGGTTTTTCAGGTTACTAACTGATGAACTACACGACTGTGTTAGCTCATCGGGCTTGGTATGTGTTTGTTGTTGTTTTACTTGTTTTCATTATTATTAATTTTGTTATTGTCATATCAGCTGTTTTCATCTCTTAAAATGCGCCAAAAATGCTGGTTTTGTGGGATTTCCGCGCTAATTTTTAAACATTAGTAATTTTCGTATTTCCGTTATATCTAGTTGCGGCATTTTTTGAGACAAGTGCAAGGCTAGTGTAAATGTACAAATTGTATGTGACGCTAGTGATATAATTATTTACATATATTTTGATTTATGGGCTTAATCATCAGTATTTTTCTGTAAAATTCGTAGAATTCCAGCTGAGAAAATATAAGAAATAAACCACAATTGTTGGTGAGAACGTTATTATTTATAATATAAATTCAGATCATGGCGGGAAATCGCTAAAAATTGCTTTCACTTTTATGATGTATGAACAAGGCTTTAAAGTGGCGACTTCGTGAAGACGACAAATTAAATTGGTGATAAAATTGTGTTCTTATTGTTCTCTACAAAACTTGTTTGGTGGATTAGTAGCTTTGAATATATCATACAAATTTATATTTGCCCCACTGATATACATACATATATTGTTAAACTTTTGTAATATCCATCAGTAAGCTTTTATGATATTTTGAGTACGAAATTTGTATTACCCCGCACGCCGAAGGCCCCATAAAGTATATATTTAGATACATATATTGGGTAGTCAAAAAAGTTTTTCGTGTTTTGTTAATAGATGTCGTTACAATCGCTACCAATCACATTGTGTCATACAACTGTTGAAAAAGTGAAATTTTAAGCTTCTTTTAACGAAAAACTCAAATTCGGGGAAGTTGAAAAAAAGTTATAGTTATTCATGAGTGAAAATAATGAAGAAATTCGCTATGTTTTGAAATTTTTGTATGGAAAATAGAAGGATACCACGCAAGCCACCAATGAAATGAAGTTTACAGAGACGATGCTGTATCAGTTCGTATAGCACAACAATGTTTCGTTCGCTTCCGTTCTGGAAATTTCGATGTGAAAGATGCACCTCGCTCTGGTCGACCTATCGTTGAAAAAGTCGATGAAATTATGGAAAATTGATGAGGACCGTCACATAAGCAGCCATAACATTGCTAAGGAACTTAACATTCATAATCAAACGATTTTGAACCATTTAAAAAAGGTTGTCTACAAAAAGGAGCTTGATTATTTGTTGAAACGAAATGAAATCGAATCATTTTTGAAGCAAATGATAACAGGAAACAAAAGTCGGATTAAATACAACAATAATGTGCAAAAAAGATCATGGTCCAAGCGTGGTGAAGCTCAAAAAGTGGTCGCAAAGGTAGGTTTGACGCCTCAAAAGGTTATGCTGAGTGTTTGTTGGGATTGGAAAGGAATCATCCACTATGAGCTGCTCCAGACTGGTCGAATGATTGGTTCTACATTCTACTGTCAACATCTGATGAAATTGAAGCAAGCAATCGGAAAAAACGGTCATATATGATCAACAGAAATTGCTTCGTCTTTCATGAGCATAACGCTAGACCACACACATCTTTAGTGACCAGGCAAAGACTATTTGGCTTAGGAAGTTTCGATGCATCCACTATATAGCCCTGTCCTTGCACCGTCGGAATACCATTTGTTACGGTCAATGCAGACCTCCCTTAATGGGATAAAGTTGGCTTCAAGAGAAGCCTGTGAAAATTTCTTGTCGCAGTTTTCGCCGAGAAACCAGAAAAGTTTTACACTGATGGAATAATGCCTCTAGTGGAAAAATTTCAAAAAGTGTTGGACCATAATGGTACATATTAGGTTGCCAAAAGAGTATTGCGGTATTTTCGCTAGTTGGCGCTGAAAGCGCGTAGTTCTAGTTTTATTCGTCGCATCGGATCATGCTATACCTTTTTGGAAAGCCCATTTGTGGAGCCGATACAGTTTCCATTTCCACCGCACTACGATGGTTTCAACGTTTTCGTTCTGGTGTAGAGGTGGTCGAAGATGTGCCACGCTCCGGAAGGCCTGTCGTCGAAAATTGCGATAAAATTACTGAATTGGTCGAAAGAGACCGGCATAGTGGCAGACGTAGCATCGGTCAAGAGCTAAAGTTTGATTAGAAATACGAAAATATTTTTTCGACTTCCCTATATATACTTACTGCTAGCTTGAATACTTCTCGCCAGTAGCAATATGTTTTAAGTACTTTTGGAACATATTAGTAAATAAATATCATTAAAATATCTATTCTAATAAAATAACTTATTATTAACTTCTTTAAAAGTTAGTTACAAGCATAAAAAGTTAAAGTTTTAAAATTGTTAAATTTTTTTTTTTTTTTTTTTTTTTTTTTTTTTTTTTTTTTTTTTTTTTTTTTTTTTTTTTTTTTTTTTTTTTTTTTTTTTTTTTTCGAAAGTAAACAAGTAAATTCTAATGTGAAAAATCTCGCGTCAAGAATATCTTATTGCGAACAGGCATGATAAAGTGAAGAGGGCAAGAACTATTAATCTATTTCTTGTAATTCGCAACGCTTTTGGCTATTTGGCAAATTTTTATTTATAGATGCGAATAAGAATATGAGTTCAACGCTTAGCCAGAAGCGCATAATAATTTCACCAATTTCTTTGCACAAATTTTTTAATATTGATTTTACTTTTACCCAGCGCCTTTCGACTGCTGGTGTTGACTTTTTATTCTGTTTTCATTTCCAATTTATTGTTTGTGATCTGACTAAGAAAAAAGCGCGTCTTTGCTAATTAACACTTTTTTGAACACAGCGCTCCCGCACGCATACACACATACGCAGACGCAGACACAGACGGGCGGTCCAATGGGTTTTATGTTACAAACACTAGCGTATACCTATACACACGCGTCACGTTGCTGTATATGTGTGTGTATATGTGTATACCAGTTGGCAATATCGACTCACATCACTGCACCAACACAACGACACGTGAATGGGAAGGCACGAGAAGCGCGCGCCGCGCGTCTTTTACACAAAACACTGTTGGCATTCTGTTGTTGGCGAATTTGCACTGCGGCACAACAATAATAACAACAACTTTGACGTTAAACGCGTTGTACACGGACACATTACAGTGTATATATTATTCTTTTCTTTACTTTTTTTCAATCTGTTATTTTATATTTTTCACTCGAATGTGCGGCAGCCACGCGCGCCTTCAGCAAACACCAACAAAATGTTTGGTTTAATTTTACTAAAATTTTTATATTTATTGAAAATCACAAACTCCAGTTCGCTGCTCGCATTTGGAAAGGCACAATTCAATCACTTTTGAAGCACAATAATAATTTTTTAAAAAATTTTCACACAAATCAACACAAATAATTTATGCTCGTTTTTCGCCTTCGCTTTGCGCTTGTTGTAATTCTTAATGATTTGCAGCTAAAACACTCACTGGCTCACTGCCGCAACGTTGCGTGGCATATTTCATGTGGAAATATTTGATTTCTTGTATATTTTATTTGAGGAAAAATGTGAATTTGTTTGCTCGATCGAAAACAAAAAATATCACGTCTCGAACTCGACTATTATTTTGTGTGTGCTGTGATGTGGAGTGTGTTGGAGTGGAGTGGTGTGGTTGGTGCCCAAAAGGTGTACAAACCACATAAACGAGCGAATGAGGCAACCAACGAGTGTACGAGCGAATCTATAAAGCGGACACTAAGGCAGTCAGTCAGCTACCCAGCGACCTAGCGAATTAGCCACCAAAAACCAACGATAGCGTGCGAGCGCACAGTCCACACAGATGCAGGCGCTGTGGCGTGTAATCTCAGCTCACGCGTGTGCCTCTCATGCTCGTCAACAACGACAACAGAAACAACAATACCTGTGAGTTAGTTGCGAGAAGCGCCTACCTGTGCCGCGCTATTACCTGTATGCCAGCCGACGCCTAGAAGTGCAGTGTACGTGTATCGAAAGCGGAGCGCATGCACGAGAGTGCGCACTGTGCGCTCTGAAACACCTGTAGCGCAAGCGTTTGCTCCTATGTGTGTGTGAGAGCGCGCGCTTTGTGGAAAGTGTCTGAAAAGGTAATTTGCTTTTTATGGTTTCATCTCTGTAACGCATACAAGCGCGCGCTGCACATACACACACTCAAGCGCTACCCTCCTGCTGTGTTGCTCATTTCGTGCATTAATGTATTTGTGTGTAATAAAATCATCGATTGTTTTATTATGTTTGTGTGTGCGCAGGTACTTTTTTCACATGGACGTAACGTGGGAGCGGTGCGCGCGGTGTTGGCGGCAGTGACTTCCAAGCGCACAACCGTCGGTGGTTTCTGCGCACTATAACCAAAGATTCAAGTCACAAACTTTACGCTGCGCACACGTTTTTACCCTCACTAGCTTGATTGCTTAGCTTGTTTGGGTGCTGTGCTATTGAGGTTTTGTGGATACAGTGGGACGTGGAGCATATACATTTTTTTGGGAATAAATTTAAAATATTTTTTTTTATAGATTAATTGAGTCATAATTATTTTCTACACTAAGAATAATGAGAAGAAGGAATAGTTCGTCTATGGTTCGCATTAAAGATATGTTTTATACCTTATAAGCCCGATGAGAATTACAAAAGTGCACTCAGTAGAGATATGTAAATTTTATTTGACATTACCTTAACAAGTTTTTCAGTGGTTAGTGAAGTGTATCAATTAAAGTTTACGGGTTTCAAAGAATATTAAATTCTAAAATATTGTCCTATGTTTTTTTTTGTTGAGGACTTTGGACAGAAATGGCTCGCAGTTTTTACTGAAATTTTTATAAAAATGTCTGCCAAAAAACTAATTTTCAGTTTTTCACTTTAGATGATCCTATAAGGAGTGGCGCATTTTTTTTTCGAGGATTCACGGGGAATGGTATCGCAATGGCTGAGTTAAAATTTCAGAATTTCTTCGTTAGTAGTGTATGTTTGTAACGATAAAAAATTCTAATAAAATATTTAATTTTTTATATGAGAAAAAAAGTTCCATGTAAGCCCTTAAGAAGTACTCTTCATCAAAATTACTCAAATTTTTTTATAAATTTCCTTTCGAGCGAAATTTCAACATTGTATTTATTTTAATTAATTTTCCCCGCAATCAACACACTGTGCTTAACAATTGCCAACAGCACTCCCTCAAACTGAACTCCGCTTGAAACCACCAAAAGTACCGACATTCAATTTCAAATTCGATTCATATCGGAACGGTGGTTGGTGATGGCGCAGCAGCAGCAGCAGCAGCAGCAATGGCGATGGCTCACACTCCCACCGTCACCAAAGGAGCGTAGCGCGCAGCAGTAACCAGCCGCACCAACAATGCTCGTGGTAACAACAACAAATATTGGTAATATTGGTGTGTCGCTATGATGCTATGCTGAATACACGTGCACACATATACACACACACACAAGCACAAAAACAGACTATAGGGGCAGCATACATACATCTGTAGGCGCATAAAAATGAGTGCCTAATAAATAGCGTGCGTAAGTCTCGCGCTAGAAACAGCTATTGGAATGTGTGTGTATGTATTAGTGGCGTTGGGAGTGTGTGTGTGTAGATGTATGCTCGTTGGTTAGGGATAGTATGGTTAAGTGCTGAAATCAAAAAGCCAAACGCTGCAATTGTAGTCGTTCAGAATAATAATGACCGCAGTGGCGGTTCAAGCGAAATTTTCGCAAAGGAGCGAATCGCTTCAGCCATGGATCGGTGAAAATAAAAAAAATATTTAGATAATATCGATTTAATTAATAATTGATTCAATTTTAACAAATCCACACAATTAAAGATCACAAGTTCTTTAGGCGCCAAATATTTCGTTAAACAAAATCTTACACGTTCACACACTTCTGCTACTTTTTGTAAAGGTTTGGGAGCTGATGTCACAAAATTTTACCCCTTTTGTCAAAATTTTTTAAACTATCGATCATTTTGCTAACCATGTCGTGGACATACCACATATTCTATGGGTAATACACGCAATTATTGTTCATGGAGGGAATCCGCCACTGTGTTGAGAAATTATACACGCCGAAGGGATTAATTTCTTGGCAACATCAAAGCAGCAGCCGAATACGTCAGTATATACATATAAACGCTCATAACTATGTTTTATAGCTTTTAACAAACTTATGGAGCTTTTGGCTAAAGTCCGTAAAAAGTTTATGATTTTCTTACGAAGAGAGAATTTCTCCAAAAAGCCTTTTGATCTTCAATTTTGGTTTAAATTATCAGTTTCCTTGGTAGCTGTGTTAGTTACCATTCAGACAGAGTAGCTCCTTCATTGAGTGCAATTCAAGGCCTCCTGATATTAGGTTTTTTATTTTTTTAACCCACCATTGAGCCCTCAATGAGTTTGCGTCTTCAGCGAATGAAGTACCTATGAACCCAGCGCAGTGTTCGGTGATCAAAATAAGTCTAACCCTTGAGGCTTTCTAAAATTCATACAAATACATAAAAATAGTTTTCAACTTAGGTTAGGTTAGGTTAATCTGGTAAGCCAATAAGCCTCACATAGACCAGTTTTGGTTCACATGGTACCAGATAGAGTTCAGTTCTTAGGTCCAAGAGAAGTAGTCATCTTTTAGGATGCCTGCGCTTAACGCGAATTTTAACTTAAGTAAGATCGAAAAATGTGGGAGCTAGCTTTTCCGTCATATTATTATTATTAACAATAAATTTGTTGGACCAAACATTTTTCTTCTGTTAAATTTGGCGTAACCCCATAAAATTGCGCAAGGAAATTCCAGCGATCCAGAGCCCACTCACTGATTTCATGCTCCATTGGTTTTCCAATTTTCAGTTTGAACTTGCGCCGCCACTGCTGTTAACGGCTAGTGGGTAGAAAGGCAAAGCAGAGAGATAGTCGAACCTTACTAGACGAAAAGAGCTCCATGCTGCTGCCTGCCACAAGGCACGCTCAGGACTATTTGCTGCAAGTAGCTGCATTTTTAAGAAATTAAATATGTATATATTAACTTAGTAGAGTCTTTGACTATGCCAAAAAATGGGGAATTAAAAACAAATCAGAAATATACATATAGACTTCAGAGTGCAACAAGTGGCATTCCGTTAGAAGATAAATAAAAGGTAAATTAAAAATTAATGCAAACTCAGAGCCGTCGCATGCTTGCATATGTTCGACTGCATTTGGTATTATAATGAGCATTTGACCAAGCCAGTTCATTAGACAATGAATAAAAAAGAAAATACGAGACATAAAATGAAAGAGAACTCAAAACAAAACACCGTTTATTTCAATTGTCATTTCTTTTGCTTGTGGAATTCTGCTGTCAAGTCAGTCAATTTTTAATTCGATAGTTTTACACTTCATTGTTTCTAGTTGGAGTAAACGAATATATTAACTGAATTGAAGCAAAAATGTACGTGTGTGTGTATGTGCTTATGCACTCTGCTCTCCTTATAAGTTGCCATCTCCGCTTATTCGTTATGCGTTTGCAGCAGCTCAACAATCCGTCGCGGCAGCGGCGATTCGCTGCTCGTTGGCGTAGACTCGTTGTTTACCGCTCGCTGATCGCTTTGCTTCATTCGTTGAATATTACGTTTTTTGCACGAGTGCATGAGGCGATTGATTTACTCGCTGCATTGCTCAACTCGTTGCCTTTTTAGCCAGTTCCTTCATTTTATCTGCACCAATGAATTTTTTGGCTAGCTGCTGTGCTAGTTGTTGTTGCTTCTTATTTATTTTCTTTTCTTATTTTGAGTTTTGACCTTTTTGGTATATCATTTCTTTATGCATCTATTTTTGTTGTTGCCGTTCATTGTGGCAATCTTATCGCTTTGTTTGTCTTTCGACTTGGACGTCGTCTTTTACTTCATTTCCTACAGATGATGGAGTATCTGCATCTAATTCTCGAGCGTTGTGTACACGGTGAGAATTATTTGTATGTTATGCTTTGATTTTTTTCTTGAAAAGTCTACTGGGGTTCGGCCGAGTTTCATTGGTTCATCAAAGTGTTTTTTTTATTATGTTTTTTTCTGTTTCTTTTAAAGCAGATCATAGCTCCTGCTATAGTTATTTCTAACAGCGGGTGACAAGAGTTACCATAACATCAAGGCGCGGTCCTCAAAGAGAGGAGAAGCTCGGCTAAGCATCTGACCATCTTTGTCAATGTACAAAACACCGGGATTAATGTAGAACTGAAGACCATTTGAATAATATTCAGTATTTGGTCCGGAGAGTAAAAAGACTGAGTTGATTAAAAAAAAAATGTTGAGTCAATCGTTACAATTCTTTAAAAACTTTCAAAATAGGCTCCCTCTGCATCGATGCAGCGCTGCCAGTGCGATTTGCGAGCATCACAGAAGACTTTCTTCGGAATAGCCTTGTAAACTGAGGTACACACTGCTTAAATCCCCTCTGTCGTCTCAAAATGCTTACCTTTCATTGATTTTTCGGTCAAGGAAACAAACAAAAGCCAGAGGTGGTCACATCTAGGCTGTAGGGCGGTTGCGGAAGCGTTGGGATGCCGGCCTTGGTTAAGTAGCTGTCCACAAGAAAGGCGATGTCAACCGGGAGATGTCGTGGTACAACTTCCAATATGCTTCAATATTGTCGGACCAGATTGACCCTTCGTTTGAGTCTCATGAGTACTTCCA